TTCCTCTTTCCACTAAATAGGATTGAGCCATCCTTTTGACTAATAGTTTTACAACTTTTTGATTAAAGGTTATATCATAACCATTGTCACTTAATTGACTTATGGACAATAAGTTATGCTTTAATCCTTCAACAAGTAAGACATTAGTAATAGAGGGAAGTTTACCATTTCCAATAGTGCCAGATCCAATGATCTTGCCCTTCTGATTCCCTCCAAATTTCACATCACCTTCAGATCTAAGCTCCAGACTTTGGAACATAGACCTTTCTCCTATCATGTGTCGCGAGCATCCAGAGTCCAGGTACCATGATTGGCGTCCTAACCTTGCTGCTAAGAACATCTCTTCAGCGTCAGAGTCAGATCCAGAGTCAGATTCAGATCCTGAAGTTCCTTCCTCCTGATCTTCTATGTCTGCCATCAAAGCTACATTGGCACATTCCTCTTCTGACTCAGGTTCAGATTCAGATGTATCTGAATTATCCCAGGTGGCCATTAGAACCTTTTTCTTCTTATCAGATTTTATTTTAGGCTTTTCTTTCAGCACCTTTGGGCATTCATTTTTGTAATGTCCAGGTTCTTTACATTCATAACAGACAACCTCCTTTTTTCCAGATCTTCTGTGTCCAGAAGACTCTTTTCTTTGGTCAGGCTTCCAGAAGTTTCTGAACTTCTTTCCTTTATGCTTCCAGAGTTTGTTTATTCTTCTAGACAACATGGATAGTTCATCTTCATCTTCAGATGAGGATTCTTCAGAGCTTTCCTCTATTACCTGCAGCTTTAGCAGATTTATTAGATTTTAAAGCAATTGATTTACCTTTCTTTTGAGGTTCATCTTCCTCAAGTTCAATTTCATGACTTCTTAGTGAATTGATTAGTTCCTCCAAGGAGATCTTGTTCAGATCTTTAGCCATTTTCAGCGCAGTCACCATAGGTCTCCATCTGGTAGGTAGGCTTCTGATGATCTTTTTCACATGATCAGCAGTAGAGTATCCTTTATCCAGAACCTTTAGTCCAGCTGTAAGTATTTGAAATCTAGAGAACATAGCTTCAACAGATTCAGAGTCTTCCATCTTGAAGGCTTCATACTTCTGGATTAGAGCCAGAGCCTTGTTTCCTTGACTTGAGAGTTTCCCTCATGAGTCATCTTTAAGGACTCAAACATGTCAAATGCAGTTTCTCTATTTGTGATCTTTTCATACTCAGTGTGAGATATTGCATTTAACAATATTGTTCTGGCCTTGTGGTGATTTCTAAACTCCTTCTTTTGGGCTTCTATCATAGATTTTCTATCTACTTTCTTTCCATTCCCATCAATGGGATGAACATATCCATCTATGACCGAATCCCATAAATCAGCATCATATCCAAGGAAAAAACTTTCAATCCTGTCTTTCCAATAATCAAATTTCTCCCCATCAAACATAGGCGGTTTAGTGCTGATTCTGTCCCTTTCTTCATATTTGTTGTTAATGTTAGACATTGAATTATCAGCCATAGTAACAACCAAATATATATCAAAGTTTTTCTCACTGGATCTTTAATGTCACTGTGAAGTGGTAGCACACACAGAACCGGAGCTCTGATGCCAACTGAAGGTGAGAAAATACTTAGAAGGGGGGTTGAATAAGTATTTTGATAAAAACTTAGAAATAAAAAACTCAAGTATTTTTATCCTGGTTCGTTGAACTCAACTACTCCAGTCCATCCTTCCTAGAGTGATTTGTCTTTCTCAAACAAGGACTTAATCCACTATTTAATCAACTGATTACAATAGTAAGCACTAAGAACAACAGTTCAAAGTCTTCTCAAGAACTACTGATCCTAACTGGATCTTCTTAAGGTTTTCTTACAATCAAATGTAATAACAAATACAAGTGTTTAAAATGCTTCTAATAAAGCTTTATCACAACTGTGATTTTTCACTTAATATTAAGAACAAAGAAATTAATTCTAGAAAGAATGTGAGTTGTATGAGAGCTTTGAATAATGAATTCTTTTCAGGTAAACCGTCAACTGAAGAAGATGAGTGGAGACTTGCTTTTATAGGCACAGTGGTCCAAGAGGTTTTCACGTTGAGAAGTGTGTACCAAAAGGTCTGAGCCTTTTTGTCTTCACGTCAAGTGACCTTTCCTAGAAAAAGAAAGCACAGAAAAATCCTTTTTGTCTGTGTTCTTGTGTCTAGCATAAATAAGGAAAGGGTCGTTTGGATATTCCAACGGACATAATCATTGAATTCTTCTTCATCAATTTTCAGCAAGAATCATCAGAGTCTAAATTGACCAGAGCCTTCTGATGTTGATCAGAGTTTTGCTGAATCAGAGTCTTTGCAGCAAGTGTGCTTTTAGCGTGTATAAGTTCAGAGCATATTTTTTGAATCAGATCCTCAGTAATGGCAGCTTTAGTACTCTCAGAATCTTTTGTAGTAACTATGCTTGAAAACTCTTCATACTGAATTCTTCTTTGGTTCAGATGCTTCTGACTTGCTTGATATTCTTCTGGAGCTTCTGCTTCAGATCCTTCTGGAGCTTTTGCTTCAGATCCTTCTGGAGGCTACGCTCAGGATCTTCTGATGGCAGCGTTCAGAATCTTCTAATGAGTGTATCTGACGCATCAGAGCTTTGCATATTTCTTATGTTCAGATCTGATTTGCTTCTGGAGTGATATTTAATTTAATATCTGCAGCAAACATTCTTAAGCAAATTTTAGAGTATATAATTCTTAATTACAAAATTTCATAATAGTTATCATCAAAACATAGAGATATTATTAAGAACCAATCTGTGTTCTAACATATGTCGCTGTCAATTGTCGCCTTATGCCATGTTCCTTGCAGAACTGGTTGAATTTATTTAACGTAAATTTTCCTCCCCTGTCAATTCTTAGTCCGCATATGGAAGCCCCTGCTTCCTTTTCAACAAGACTTTTGAAGGTTTTAAATGCCTCAAAGGATTCTGCTTTCTCTGCAAGAAAATAGATCCAGGTTATCGTCTACAAACACTAACAAATACCTCTTACCACTGTGAGAGGTTGGAGTGATTGGTCCACACAGATCTCCATGAATTAACTCCAATTTCTCTGATGCCCTCCAGCCAATTTTCTTCGGAAATTTCCCCCGCTGCTGCTTTCCCATGTTGCATACCTTGCAAATCTTGGCTGCTTCTTTCAACTTTGGTAATCCTTTTACCATTTGTTTTTGCTGCATTATTTGGGTGGACTTGTTATTTAAATGCCCATATCTCTTGTGCCAGAGATTCTCCAAGTCTTCTTCCTCCATCTTCAAACAACTACGGGGCAGTGGTTTCATCTTTGCATAGACCACGAACATACGATTCATAGTCATTGGAGTGTCTACTATCAAACCTCTTTGATGATGATAGATTCTGCAAGTACCCTCTTTAATTATGATCACTAAACGTTTTTCCTGTAGTTGTCCTATGCTCAATAGGTTGTTGCTGAGATTTGGAACATAATAGACGTCAGACACCATTTGTGTGATTCCTTGTACTTCAAACCTGACACTGCCTTTTCATTGAACCGCCATCCTTGAGCTGTTACCCAATCTGACAGAATGCTTGAAGCTTTCGTTGAACCGCTCCTTTTTCCAGACTTAAGCATTCAGATTCATAATGTCCTTTCTTTCCACATCGAAAGCAATTAATGGCTGACCTGTTGACAAAATATCTACCTCTTCCTCGTCCTCTAAAATTGCCGCCTCTGAAGTTACCGCTTCCGGAGTTGCCATTTCCTCTCTGATATATGCCTCTACCTCTTCCTTGTACATTCCTTTGCTCGTTCTCCACCTGTAGAACTTGTTCTTCACTTCTTTTCTCAATCACCTTTTGTTCATGTACAAGCAGGGATGCTTGCAATTCATCTACTGTCATATCATCAATGTCCTTGGACTCTTCGATGGAGCATACCACAAAGTTGAAGTTGTCCGTAAGACTTCGAAGTATTTTTTCAACAATTTTAACATCGTTCATGTTTTCTCCACAGTTCCTCATTTCATTGTCAGTAGACATGACTCTTGCGAAGTACTCAGACACACCTTCTCCCAATTTCATTTCTAGGGTTTCAAATGTTCTGCGAAGCCGTTGCAGTTGTGCGCGCTTCACTCTAGCACCTCCCTGATACTTGACTTTCATTGAATCCCACAACTGTTTGGCTGTTTCCTTCTGGGTGATGGTTTTCAAGATGCTCTTGTCTATGGACTGAAAAAGATAGTTCTTTGCTTTGAGATCTTTGAGTTTTGCTTCGTCGAGTGCCTTCGCGCTTATGCATTCGGTCCCCTTCAACTCTTCGAGCCCTGGTTCAATGACGCTCCAGTACTCCTTGGAGCAGAGGAGATTTTCCATAAGTAAGCTCCAGTGATCGTAGTCACCATCGAAATTCGGAACGCATGGTATTGAGAAACTTTCTGCTGCCATTTTTCCTTTCTTCTGTGTTTTTCATCTCAAACACTATTGCAGACTTTCCCTACTTCCTCTCAGTATTTTTCCTCTCAAACACTCAATTTGTATATTACTATTATCAGGCCCTTTCGAGCTCTGATACCAGATAAAGGAAATAGAACAGAAACGAAAGCTAGAATACTTGATACTTTATTCAAAAGACTGTTATAGCTTTTATAAAGCCTTACAATTTAAATGTAACTGAAATAGAGAAAAACAAGGAAAACAAAACCTAACAAACTTGAATAAATCAACTCTTAGAAACTAGCTTATTAAGATGTATTCTCTCACTTTAACGGTAAATCCAACACTTTCCCTCTCTCACACTTCTTCCCCTTTTCCTCCAACCTCATCATCCCTCCTAATTCCCATGATGCCCCTTACATACGTTACCTCGACGGCGACTCTCTTTCCTTCACTATCTCTGAATCCTCCGCCAACTTCAACCTCCTCATATCTGATTCACAAGACGCTTAAAACTGGCACCCTCTTGTTCCTGACCTTCCTCCACCTCATACGGAACCTAACGGTACACGTGTTATTCCTTTAATGGCCATTCAACTCACCGTTCTACCAAACTCTGGATTCTCTATCTCTCTCACGTTCCAACACGTCGCCGGAGACGGAAGATCACTTCATCATTTCATGAAATATTGGGCCTCTCTTTCAAAAGCCAGTGCAAACAACAACGACAATAGTTTATTATCTATTGATCTTCCTTTCCATGAAAGAGATAGAGTTAAAGACACAAAAGGTCTTAGATCTATCTACTTACAAGAACTACGAGATTCTGATTCGAAAAACATGGAATTTGCGGGTCTTGTTCGAGATTCTTATGTTAACAAGGTACGAACAACTTTAGTTTTGAACTATGAACAAGTTCAGAATTTGAAAAATTGGGTCACTGATAAATGTAAAGACAGTCATAGAACACAACATCTGTCAACTTTTGTTGTAACAAGTTCCTTGATTTGGTTTTGTATGGTAAAATCGGAGGAGAGCGAAAGCAAAAGCGATCAAGATGATTGTGATGTTGTTGAAGTACATCTTGATACGACTGGTTCGATCTCTCTTTCAGATTGTAGAGATGGTGGAGGTGGAATTGAAGTTGGTTTAGCTCTTGAGAGGTCTCGAATGGCTAGTTTCATCAACATCTTTCAACAGCAACTTGATAGTATTTGTAGCATGTGAATGAAATAAAATGCATTAGTTTTGGGTTTCAGCGTGCTTTATTATTATTACTGTAAGTCTGTAACTACAAAGTTTCTACTTTATTTTAGAATAAAGTTTACGACTTGAAATAAATAATTTTCTAATCTTAATATATCATTGAAGTTATATAGTTGTTTATAATAATATTAAGACAAAGAGGAAATATGTGGAAATTCAAAATAAGTTAGATCCAACTGTTTGCTGTGTTGTGAATAGGTGACTGGGGGCAGTGACAATTGATGTACAACTCATGAATATTATTCTAAAGTGACTTGTAGTATTATATTTAGTGTTTGTAACACCTATGTAACACTATTTATTTAAATAGAAATCAAGGGAAATTATTGGTCAAACTATTTTAGTAAAGATTAATCGTGTTTATTGTCTTTTATATTTCATTCTCTTTATTCTTTTATACTGGTTCTTGGTATAACAATTGGTATCAGATGTCGATTATTTAAGGTCCCAAGGTTCGGCATGACGAGCAATTTTAAATTATGGCAAATGATGGTTAAGGATCTATTGGCTCAGCAAAGTTTATAGAAATCGTTGTATGAGATGAAATCAACCGACATGAAGGATACCGATTGGGTAGAGATAAAGAAGATGACCGCGAGATTGATTCGCCTATGTGTTTCAGACGAGGTGAAGTATCATATCCTCGATCTAATAAGGTCGAGGGAGGTTTAAGACAAATTAGAGAGTCAATATATGTCAAAGTCGTTAATGAACAAATTGTTTGTGAAGCAACAACTTTACAGTGTGAAGACGCAGGAAAAATCCACTTCACAACATGTAAATGTCTTCAGTTGAGTAAGATAATATGATGCAACAAAATTCTGACATATGTGTATGGGTCACCTCTATAAACGTGAGATGATGGAATTTTATAAGAAAAATCTATTGAAGAGTGTTCATAGTTTCATGATGGATTTGTGTAAGTATTGCGTACTTGAAAAACAATGATGTGTTTGGTTTAAGTCTGGAAATAAAAAAATAGAGGGAATTTTAGACTATGTGCATCAGATGCGTGGGGCATAAAAAAGAGATTTCCATGGGTTGTTCCAAGTATTTAGTGACTTTTACAGATGATTTTTTTCCGCAAAGTCTTGTTATATTTCTTGAAACAAAAATCTAAAGTATTTAAAAAATTTATGGTGTGGTAAGCAGATGTATATAATCAAACATGCATAAGAATAAAGTATCTGCAGTTAGATAATGGGAAAAGTACACTTATTTGAACTTCAATAAGTTATATAAAGAAAAAAGCCTTCTAAAGCATTTCTTAGTTTGCAAGACACCACAACAAAATGGTGTGTCAGAGAAAATGAATAGGTCTCAAACTGAAAGAGAAGGATGTCTCTTATTAAATGCTATGATGGAACAAACATGGTTTGTCCTATATCCCTTAGATTTTGATGATAACAAAGTAGTTAAAGAACAACTGTGTATACTAATGTTTTTTCAAGTGCGTAGGAACATAGACTATAATTTCATGTAAAATCCAAGTATTGGTTTTGATTCTGAATATTCAAAGATATGCATGAAGATAATATTCTGATGAATTAGAAGCTGAAGAGCTGACTCTAAATAAGTCATCTTTTAAAGAGGTTAACATTCAAACATCAAAGTCTGAAGGAATCGGCCTCTGAATATCAGACTTTGGATAAGCCTGCTTTTAGTGATCAGAACTTGAGCTTGTCAAAGCTCAAGGACAAAGGTGACACGGATATGTCATTGTTCATCTCTGAATAAACTTTATCATGTGATGACCTAAGCTCTAGTTTCTTCATAGAGTCTGCTGAGATACAGCTGCTAATTCCTTTTGTAGCAAAGGTTTTTCAAACTAGGTTTCATATAACTTGACAGTTTGGTGAAACATCCCATCATACCCCAAATTTTACCCCTAGATTCTATCATCATTTACATAACATCCAATACATCTTAGGTTATCAATTCATGCATATCTAACTCTTATAATTATCAAGATTTTGTCTTGCTTTGTTTCATTGGTTAATTAGGGTTTGCATCTAGGAGATTTTTGGTTGATTAGTCAAAGTATTGGATTAATCATTAATATATCAATTCCTCGTGATCAAGAGTTTCCCTACATAAATAATCAAGCGCAAAGTTTTATTGAATCAAGATCAATAGCACCCAAATTAGAGTTTTGACCTAATGCAGTCTTTGATTTGAATTTTAGAGCAAGGAATGATCCAACATCTCAAAACATGTTTCAAGTACCTCAAATGCATCATATTAGTCCATTAATATGATTGGGTTGATCCAAAGAAGCTTGAGTCATAAGTAATGCAAGAATTCAAGTTCATCTGATGAAAAGTGAACCACTGATCAAGTAAAGTTTGAATTTAAAATTTTTGGTCAAACATGAGTTCCTTACGACAAGAATGATGATAATATGTCATTTGGATTATGATTGATCAAGAGAAATCAAGAAATATGAGGTTACTTGCAAAAAGGACAACAATGAAGAAGTTAATTTTTTTTTTAAGTTATGGAAGTTCATGATTTTTGCCTAACTTCTCAAGGCCATAACTTCCAATCCAAGCAACCATTTTCTTTTACCCAAAGTCCAATTTGAAGAGTTTGTTCCATACTACAACTTTGTACTTGAGGATGAATTCTCAAAAAATACAAGGATTGAGAGATATGGAGCCTTGAAGTTGGAGGTTCCATAGTCTTGAACCTAAAACACTTAGAAAAATTTTAAACAAAACCTGCCTTGTGTTAGTGCGGTAAAACAACAAGCAAAAATATTAAGTACCCAGTTTTGTCGTCTCCACAGGGATCGGTGCGATGAAAGAACGCCATTCAACGATCTCCATATTTTTAAGCTTATTGTTCAAAAGGTTTGGTTTAAAAGGTTCAAGGAACCATGGATAAAAACAGAAAATATAAAGTAAAATCTGAAATATAAACGGAGTCTTGTTGGGATTGGATCTCATCAATTGATAACACATGCATTCTTCTGATCATGTTAAACACAACACAATCATTCATCTAATATCTTCACGTATTACCCATGACCGAGGTCATCTCTAACGCAACATCGAGAGAACAACCATGTTGTCTCATTGATTATGTCTCACGCAACAAAAACACAACACAGAGCATTAAGAACTGATACTTACGCAAATGCTAAGCCTAAATCTATGTCTAGAATTTAGGACCTAACAGGTAATCATTTTAGATCCAGATCTGAAGAGTACATGTCTATAGCAGTTCAAATCAAAGATAGACGAGTAAGCAAAGACGACACCCATATCGGAAAAACGATTGTTTCATATAAAACACAATGATCAGAATACGTACATACGCTTAACCCTTTTTACATGTATTCATCTAATCTGCCAAATGTAGGTGAACATTGTTCTTCATCACTATTATCACGCACCCGCACAATATTGTATTGATCCTACTCATGCTACCCATGCTACTTAATCAACACAATACCACAGAAGATACAATGAATATCAACATACAAAATTATGTCAAAAGTTTGTTCATCGATAGGATAAAATCTTAGATCAAAGATATGAAAAGGTTTTGTCAAGACCCACAAAAGAAATCAAAGACAACCAACCAATAGAGAATCAAAACTAGTTCACAAACATAAATTATATGAAATACATAAGGTATCAAAAGATTACATCCAAACCCCAACAAGAGATCAAAGATCTTACCTCCTCCCTCTTAGGGTTTTGTATTTCTCTCTCTAAAATAAACTTGAAATGAAGAGAGATAAGTTCTGATGTAGAAAATATTATATCATAATCTAAAAAGCAAGAAAATTACTTATATAGTACATTCAGGATCTGTCATGTTCACACTGCGAACAGATCCTTCACCTAGCGAACAACAAATTGGGCACCTGGGGTGCCTCTGAATAGTTAAACCGCCTTTGAGACTTTTCCACATGTTCGTTATGTGAGCAATCCTTCGCCTAGCGAAGCCTTTGCTGCAAACTTCGTACATCGAGTTCTAGTCCAAATACCTACTGCCTCAAGTCTGAGAGTGTTCGCTGGCTACTCGCTACCTCTTCGCCTAGCGAGGTCTTCGCTTCCTCCTTCGCCTAGTGAGTTTTGGTCCCTTTCCTTTCTGTTGTGAACAGTGCATTAGGTTCTTGGCCTTCGTTACATAGTTCGCCTAGCGAACTTTGTGAAGATTTCTGGCAAGCTTCGCTAGGAGCTTCGCACGGCGAGTTTTATGATGTTTTTCTGCTGTCTTGGTTTCCTTGCCTAATTTTGTGTCTTACTATTCACTTGTTTTGTGCTTAATTCCTGCACAATAACACGCAAATCAAAGCAACCAAGGCATTTTCCAACAATGAAGCATATCATCTAAAACATGAGTGATTCTAACCACTTTTACCTACAAAAAGAATGAAAAGTGCTAACATTTGATAGATCAAATAAGCAAAGTTTGACATCTAACACCTTGTAAAGTAATCAACTTGGAGGCCATTTTTCACCATGATCCCTTTTGATTCAAGAAAAACTCAAAACATGAAATTTTTATAGGATGTTTCAAGTTTTCCAAAGAATCCAAGAACATATTTATATCATACTTGAGCTAGAAGTTTCAAAGAAGGGAAGTTGACCTTCCAAACTTGAATTTTGGTCATGTTCATGTCAAAACCTTGTGCCAAAACCTAGTAAGACCTACACGAAGTTGCTTTGCAGGTCATGTTACTTGAAAATCTTCATCTAATCATAGAATTACACAAGTTTGTGAGGCATTAACCAAAGAATTGATGCATTAACCAAGTTGTAATGCCACATTTGGAATGTTTTGCAAGAAAGGTTGCACTTCCATTTTGATAATGCCACTTTAATCAAAGTCAACTTATCTTGAGCCCATACTTAGTTTCTTCTGCACCAAACCTTTCTAAAGCTCAGAAGCAACATCTCTAAAGGTGCTCAACCACTCTAGAAAGTTGGTACTTGGCATTAGAACTA